AAAAATCTCTGTTCAAATGGCAGATAGAAAAGGATCCCTGTTGCAGGTTCTGTGGGGATGAGGAGGAGGACCTGATGCATTTGTTTTATTTTTGTCCACATGTGGCTAAGTTTTGGGTCAGTGTACAGTTATGGTTAAGGTCTATGGGTATTGCTTTGCAAATTACACCTCAGAATATTGTGTTATGTATTTTTGAGGGTAAATGCACATACCTTTTGAATATGATTATTCTGATGGGTAAAATGTTTATTTTTAAAGCTAAAAATGTATCAAATTTATGTATAAAACACTTTAAGAATAGAGTTTATCATCAGTATATGTTAGAAACTATTATAGCAACAAATAACAACAGAATAATTGAGCATGAAAAGAAATGGAATGTCTGCTTACCTGAGTTAGAGATATGAATATTGGGTGTACTTGCTACGCCATTTGTTATGTCGTAAATGTTTTGCTAATTGTATTGTATTTTGTTTATGGATTATGATTGGTATTAGTGACTTTATTTTATTTCTCATTTTCTATGTTATTATTTTCTTTTGCTTTGTGCTTCTTTTTTGTCTATAGTCTGTGTTCGGGATGCTAGGAATGTGTGGATGATTGTGGTTGTGATTGTGGTGTGAATGCAGGGGGGAGTGGCTGGGTTTGGGTGGGGGGTTTTGGAGTTTGTCTTGTTGTTTTGTCTTGTAAATAAAAAAGAAAAAAAAAAAAAAAAAAAAAAAAAAAACTTCAGCACATGGTCAGAGTCATATAAACGTCAGCACATGGCCAGTTCACAGCTAACTCCGACCGCTCACTCAGTTTTTCTGTCCCAGAGACGAAATGTGTCCAAAATAACACAGGAAAGTCCTTTAAGGAGGAAGAAGTCGGCGATCTCCGCACCATACAACTGGCACGTGTGGTTTGTTTGTATCCGCGGGTGGAAATCTCGCAAAATCTCGCACTTCCGCTTTCCAGCCCTATTCTCTGGGCCCGAGCCCGGCCCTGGCCCAAGGGGGTGAAGCGCCGGCCCGGCCCGGCCCGGTCCAACAGGTTTTCAGAATTTTCTGGCCCAAACCGACTTCTTTTTTTTTTTTTTTACCTGTATGATACACAGCTGTATGATACACAGCTGTATGATACGCAGCTGTATGATACACAGCTGTATGATACACAGCTGTATGATACACAGCTGTATGACACACAGCTGTATGATACACAGCTGTATGATACACAGCTGTATGATACGCAGCTGTATGATACACAGCTGTATGATACACAGCTGTATGATACGCAGCTGTATGATACACAGCTGTATGATACACAGCTGTATGATACACAGCTGTATGACACACAGCTGTATGATACACAGCTGTATGATACACAACTGTATGATACGCAGCTGTATGATACACAGCTGTATGATACACAGCTGTATGATACACAGCTGTATGACACACAGCTGTATGATACACAGCTGTATGATACACAACTGTATGATACGCAGCTGTATGATACACAGCTGTATGATACACAGCTGTATGATACACAGATGTATGACACACAGCTGTATGATACACAGATGTATGACACACAGCTGTATGACACACAGCTGTATGATACACAGATGTATGATACACAGCTGTATGATACGCAACTGTATGATACACAGCTGTATGATACACAGCTGTATGACACACAGCTGTATGATACACAGCTGTATGACACACAGCTGTATGATACACAGATGTATGATACACAGCTGTATGATACGCAACTGTATGATACACAGCTGTATGATACACAGCTGTATGATACACAGCTGTATGATACACAGCTGTATGATACACAGCTGTATGATACACAGCTGTATGATACACAGCTGTATGATACACATCTGTATGATACACAGCTGTATGATACACAGCTGTAATAAACTACCACACATTTGAAGGTAATGCTGTCGTCATGACAACACTAAACAGAACCACAAACACTACAGAGTGATAGAACTATATTCAGTGGGTTCAGTGTTCCTCGGGCTGTCGGGCCCAGGGCTCAAGTGCAAGGCTCTACTCCAGAGACCTGCTCCAGACCTGCTCCAGACCTGCTCCAGACCTGCTCCAGACCTGCTCCAGACCCAGACCTGCTCCAGACCTAAACCCAATGGTTCAACTTTGGTGGCGACACAAAATAAATAAAAACATTTAGACCAGGATTCAAACTCCGGCTGAAACTTCTGGTAGAAACCATGACAGACTTTAGTTTCTTCACACGACACTGGCCTCAGGCTTCACTGGTCTTTTCAGAGTCACTCAGACTTAAACAGTCGTTTGTTTCTCCTCGCTGGTTTCAACAAGTATGATCACAGCACAGGTGAAGGAGAGCCAATCACAGCACAGGTGAAGGAGAGCCAATCACAGCACAGGTGAAGGAGAGCCAATCACAGCACAGGTGAAGGAGAGCCAATCGCAGCGCAGGTGAAGGAGAGCCAATCGCAGCGCAGGTGAAGATAGTCCGAGCGTAGATAGTCCGAGCGTAGATGGTCCGAGCGTAGATAGTCCGAGCGCAGATAGTCCGAGCGCAGATAGTCCGAGCGTAGATGGTCCGAGCGTAGATAGTCCGAGCGTAGATGGTCCGTGCGTAGATAGTCGGAGCGTGGATAGTCCGAGCGTAGATAGTCCGAGCGTAGATAGTCCGAGCGTAGATAGTCCGAGCGTAGATAGTCCGAGCGCAGATAGTCCGAGCGTATATAGTCCGAGCGTAGATAGTCCGAGCGTAGATGGTCCGAGCGTAGATAGTCCGAGCATAGATAGATAGTCCGAGCGTAGATAGTCCGAGCGTAGATAGTCCGAGCGTAGATAGTCCGAGCGTAGATAGTCCGAGCGTAGATAGTCCGAGCGTAGATAGTCCGAGCGTAGATAGTCCGAGCGTAGATAGTCCGAGCGTAGATAGTCCGAGCGTAGATAGTCCGAGCGTAGATAGTCCAAGGCGGTCCCGCAGGTCTCTCCCATAGACCAGTCTCTCCAGAGGATACGATGTAAGCTAGCTCTGTTCAGGGCTTGGTTTCTTCTTTGATCATGTTTTGGCTTTAGTTCCTCTTCTCTTCCTCACTGTTGTGTGGTTTGGGCTGTTTTGCTGTGTCTGCAGTTACAGCCAGAGGAGTTATAGCCACTTATGCTAACATGCTACTGTGTTTAGCAGCGCTGTAGAGGCTAGAGGACGCAGCCTCGTTCTGTGATTGGAGGAGAGCGGGCGTCGCGCTAAAGCCTGGTGGAACAGTTGATCAAAGATCTCGCAGCTCGTTCACTCGAAGGGAATAAAACTCTGGAGCTGAGATTGAATGACATTGTTTGTCAGGCTTGAACTCTCTGACCCGGCTTGGATTTGCCCCTGTGTACGGGGTCTGAGGGCGCCGCAATTCGGTTTAATTGGATTTAATAGAATATCTGCCTGTTTTTAACTGCTACATTGCATTTAATATTGTCCCCCTGAGGCGATGTGTTTTCTCCTCCTGTGTCTTCTCTCCACTCTTATCTCACATTCCTCGGCCAAGGCCATAATAACAAAGGTCCCATCTACAACAACTCACACTATTCAGTCTCCAGCTTGGATCCCTCACCCCCGCCTCCCTCTCTATCCATCTTGCTCCCTCCCTCCCTCCCCTCCACTCCTTATTGTTTTCCTACTCACCCCCTCCCTGATCCCGCCCCCCTCTGACAGCTACATTGGGCCGGCCGCCGGAGGTGCTCATCCCGAGAAAAAAATCCGTGGTTTATACAAAGCACAATGTGTCTATCCAACTGTCTGTGAAACTGTATGTTATTGCTCTCTGCTGTTTCTTGCTGCACACAGCGCCGCAAATGGCGAAGTGGCACGCTCTCTGCCAAGACAATTTCCAAGTGGTAATTTTGTTACTCACGTGGCAATAAAAATGATTCTGATTCTGATTCTGATTCACACGAGACGATTATAAAATTGTCGGCCGATTTTATCTCTGTGTTAGACCTCACACACGGGTCTAACACTTTGGTCGTACAGTGTGTGGTGCAGCCACACGGCAAGATCACACAAACCACACACATCACACACAAACCGATTTCACCCACGAGTATCCACAGGTCAGAGAGAAATCTCACAAAATCTCGCGAGATCAAGCGTGACTTCAGAGTAAACAATCATGGCGGACCAAGAGGAGGCAGTGGCGATAGTTTGTTTTTAGCAGAGAAAAGACGTAATCAAAGAAAAGGCGACGGTCAAAGAAGTGCAGCCGACTCGAGCTTCATCCTGATCTGGAGGTGGTTTTTCACGGTGTTTTCTCGCCGCCTCGTCTCGTCTTCTGATTGGCTACACGCCGCAGTCATGGCAACGCGCTCGTCTGTTGGGCCAAAACAATCCAACATGTTGGATATCCCTGATATTGAGATCGGAGCAGTCCTGAAGTCCTTCAGAGCGACGAGCACAGTCTTAACACACGTCCATCAGATTTGTTGTCACGATATTCGGAGCGTTCTTACGATCGTCGTTCGGGGTAAATCGGGTCCAAAATTGGCCTAATTATCCTGCCGTGTGAACCGGGCTTAAGTCTCTACTCAGCAGTTTTTACGCCTGAGTTCATACACAGCTGAATCAATGAGCTCAAGTTTTACATTAAATTACAGATTATAAAACAACTTGTTTGTAGTAAAAAACATTTTTATGAACTCATTAGAATAAAATTGGGTGGAGCATCTTTAACCTGAAGATTTGATTAAATGGGCGGAGTCTGCTCTGCTCCTGCTGGGTCTGATAGAAAACCTGCAGCCACAGCTGCCCTTTCTGGACCGGTCTGGACTGGTCTGTCTCATGCTGTGGACATTTTAGTCCTCACCAAATATTGGATCCAATTTTGCCCATTCTTCTTGCCCATTCTTCTTTACAAAAGAGCTCTGTCCCATACACACACACACTCACACACATACACACACACACTCACACAGACTCACACACACACACACACACACACACACACACACACACACTCACCCAGCACGTGCAGGTGTGCGGCTGCAGTGAGGTTCTGGTGCCTGTTGGTGGCGCTGCAGCTGTAGGAGCCGGAGTCGTCCACAGTCACGCTGCTGATCACCAGAGAAGAACCCAGAAGACTGAACTTCCTGTTCCTGAAACATCAGAGACGACCGAGTTGAGGCCTCCTGCTGGTAACACATGGTACTACAGTCTGCACACACTGAAGAGAGGCCTCCTGCTGGTAACACATGGTACTACAGTCTGCACACACTGAAGAGAGGCCTCCTGCTGGTAACACATGGTACTACAGTCTGCACACACTGAAGAGAGGCCTCCTGCTGGTAACACATGGTACTACAGTCTGCACACACTGAAGAGAGGCCTCCTGCTGGTAACACATGGTACTACAGTCTGCACACACTGAAGAGAGAGGCCTCCTGCTGGTAACACATGGTACTACAGTCTGCACACACTGAAGAGAGGCCTCCTGCTGGTAACACATGGTACTACAGTCTGCACACACTGAAGAGAGGCCTCCTGCTGGTAACACATGGTACTACAGTCTGCACACACTGAAGAGAGGCCTCCTGCTGGTAACACATGGTACTACAGTCTGCACACACTGAAGAGAGAGGCCTCCTGCTGGTAACACATGGTACTACAGTCTGCACACACTGAAGAGAGAGGCCTCCTGCTGGTAACACATGGTACTACAGTCTGCACACACTGAAGAGAGGCCTCCTGCTGGTAACACATGGTACTACAGTCTGCACACACTGAAGAGAGGCCTCCTGCTGGTAACACATGGTACTACAGTCTGCACACTGAAGAGTGTGACATCACAGAGGAAGCTGATTTGAACATAAGCTGGAGCCAGTTCCTTAATTGGGCATTTGTTCTGATGGCGTTAGCTTAGTGCTGTAACAGTGTTGCTACAAAACTAAAGGTAAACTGTTGCCTCTGATTGGTCAGTCCTTATATGGTCATATCTGCATTTACAAAGACACATCACAAATAAACACAGGACACAGAGAAACCACAGATTTTAGCCCAAACTGGTGATGTCACACGTTACTGAGCAGCAGGAGTTTACTTTGACATGAAAGTCAACAGGGGCCAAACTTCACCATGAGCACTTCCCTGCTGTTAGCGTGTTAGCATTGTCTTATACAGTTTATGGTTTACAGTAATGTACAGACCCTGTACATTACTATAATGTACCAGGACCAGGGCGAGTGCTGTTCCTGTCCTGGTCCTGGTCTGGTACTGTCCTGGTACTGGTCTGGTCCTGGTCTGGTCCTGGTCTGGTACTGTCCTGGTACTGGTCTGGTCCTGGTCTGGTCCTGGTCTGGAACTGGTCTGGTACTGTCCTGGTACTGGTCTGGTCCTGGTCTGGTACTGGTCTGAGTTACCATGTGTGGATGGGCTCCTCTCCGCGGCTCCACGTCACAGTGGGAGGGGGGAACCCCGACACAGAACACTCCAGAACCACCTCTGTTCCCAGGGGAGCGCTGATGGAGGACGGACGCAGGAGGAACGACAGACTGCGAGGAGCACCAGGCTCTGGAGAAAAGAGCGAGAAGAATGAGACCAAAGACCTGGAGGACCCGAAGGATCTCCTGGACGATCTGGAGGATCTCTTGGAGGATCTCCTGGAGGACCTGGAGGATCTCCTGGAGGATCTCCTGGAGGACCTGGAGGATCTCCTGGAGGACCCGGAGGATCTCCTGGAGGATCTCCTGGAGGACCCGGAGGATCTCCTGGAGGATCTCCTGGAGGACCTGGAGGATCTCCTGGAGGACCCGGAGGATCTCCTGGAGGATCTCCTGGAGGATCTCTTGGAGGATCTCCTGGAGGATCTCCTGGAGGACCTGGAGGATCTCCTGGAGGATCTCCTGGAGGACCTGGAGGATCTCCTGGAGGACCCGGAGGATCTCCTGGAGGATCTCCTGGAGGATCTCTTGGAGGATCTCCTGGAGGATCTCCTGGAGGACCTGGAGGATCTCCTGGAGGACCCGGAGGATCTCCTGGAGGATCTCCTGGAGGACCTGGAGGATCTCCTGGAGGATCTCCTGGAGGATCTCCTGTAGGTGGCCCTCACCTGGTAGCACCGTGAGCTCTGCTCCGTTGCCTGTCCTGGTACTTCCTGCGTTGTGGGCGATGCACCTGTAGGTGCCGCTGTCCTGTGGCGTTGCCGCGGTGATGAGCAGAGCGTGGGAGGGCATCAGGACCAGGCGAGAGTCCGGTTTACGCGTCAGGTCCAGGAAGAGGCCGTCCTTCTGCCACTGCACCTGGGGCCGCGGGTCACCTGACACCTCACACCTGAAGAGGGCGGAGTCTCCCACGAACGAGGAGGCGGAGTCTGTGGGGGCGAGCAACCGCAGCGGGCCTGAAGAGAGAGAGTCTTAAAGCTGAGGTCTGTAACTTTAGTCTGAATAACACATGTTTAAAGCTCAGGTCTGTAACTTTAGTCTGAATAACACATGTTTAAAGCTCAGGTCTGTAACTTTAGTCTGAATAACACATGTTTAAAGCTCAGGTCTGTAACTTTAGTCTGAATAACACATGTTTAAAGCTCAGGTCTGTAACTTTAGTCTGAATAACACATGTTTAAAGCTCAGGTCTGTAACTTTAGTCTGAATAACACATGTTTAAAGCTCAGGTCTGTAACTTTAGTCTGAATAACACATGTTTAAAGCTCAGGTCTGTAACTTTAGTCTAAATAACACATGTTTAAAGCTCAGGTCTGTAACTTTAGTCTGAATAACACATGTTTAAAGCTCAGGTCTGTAACTTTAGTCTGACTAACACATGTTTAAAGCTCAGGTCTGTAACTTTAGTCTGAATAACACATGTTTAAAGCTCAGGTCTGTAACTTTAGTCTGAATAACACATGTTTAAAGCTCGGGTCTGTAACTTTAGTCTGAATAACACATGTTTAAAGCTCGGGTCTGTAACTTTAGTCTGAATAACACATGTTTAAAGCTCAGGTCTGTAACTCTAAAGTACCTGCCACAGTGACTTTAGCAGCGCGACTTGCAATACTCCCGACTCCCTCCAGGGCGGCGACACATTGGTAGACTCCTTCGTCCGAGCGCTGGTGCCGCGCGTGCACAACTCCGCGCACGGTTAGCGTGCCGTTAGCCGCCTGCGCACGGCGCTCGTCCACCAGAGAGTCCAGCAGCACGCCGTCCTTTCGCCAACGCACCACCGGGTTCAGCCAATCAGAGCGCGCCTCACAGTCCAGCTGCAACACGCCGCCGCGGACCACCACCGTGTCCTGAGGCTCACGCCAAAACACCAGATCCACAAAACCCACGCCATCTGCTGGAGAGAGAAGGAACTGTGAGACCAGAGAGAGACCAGAGAGACCAGAGCGACCAGAGAAAGACCAGAGAGAGACCAGAGAGACCAGAGAGAGACCAGAGAGAGAGACCAGAGAGAGACCAGAGAGAGACCAGAGAGACCAGAGAGAGACCAGAGAGAGAGACCAGAGAGAGACCAGAGAGAGACCAGAGAGAGACCAGAGAGAGACCAGAGAGAGAGACACCAGAGAGAGAGACCAGAGAGATAGACCAGAGAGAGAGAGACCAGAGAGAGACCAGAGAGAGATCAGAGAGAGACCAGAGAGAGACCAGAGAGAGACCAGAGAGAGACCAGAGAGAGACCAGAGAGAGATCAGAGAGAGACCAGAGAGAGACCAGGGAGAGACCAGAGAGAGACCAGGGAGAGACCAGAGAGAGACCAGAGAGAGAGACCAGAGAGAGACCAGAGAGAGACCAGAGAGAGACCAGAGAGAGAGACCACAGAGAGACCAGAGAGAGACCAGAGAGAGACCAGAGAGAGAGACCAGAGAGAGACCAGAGGCCGTACTTTGCCCAGAGCTGAGTCCACATGGGAGCAGCGGCTCTACACTGTGCTTTTATTATGTCTGAATCACACTGAACACGCCTCGGCAGAAAGTCCCGCAAGGCGGGTTGAAGGCCCAATGTTTACTGCATGTTCAGAAACATAATCCTCACGACTGGATCTTTGAGTGATCTGATGGGGAACCAGATGTGGGAGGACCAGGGGGAGAGAGGGGGGAGGGGGGAGGGGAGTCAGACGGTCCCCGCAGAGACTTGACACACAAACACACTTCTGTCTGTCCTGAGAGAGATCAGAGAGAGACCAGAGAGAGAGACCAGAGAGAGAGACCAGAGAGAGACCAGAGAGAGACCAGAGGGAGACCAGAGAGAGACCAGAGAGAGACCAGAGAGAGAGACCAGAGAGAGACCAGAGGGAGACCAGAGAGAGGCCAGAGAGAGAGACCAGAGAGAGAGACCAGAGAGAGACCAGAGAGAGACCAGAGGGAGACCAGAGAGAGACCAGAGAGAGACCAGAGAGAGAGACCAGAGAGAGACCAGAGGGAGACCAGAGAGAGACCAGAGAGAGACCAGAGAGAGACCAGAGAGAGAGACCAGAGAGAGACCAGAGGGAGACCAGAGAGAGGCCAGAGAGAGACCAGAGAGATACCAGAGGGAGACCAGAGAGAGAGACCAGAGAGAGACCAGAGAGAGACCAGAGAGAGACCAGAGAGAGACCAGAGAGAAACTAGAGAGACACCAGAGAGAGACCAGAGAGAGACCAGAGAGAGACTAGAGAGACACCAGAGAGAGACCAGAGAGAGACCAGAGAGAGACTAGAGAGACACCAGAGAGAGACCAGAGGGAGACCAGAGAGACACCAGAGAGAGAGGCAGATCTGTTTAAATCCTGTGTCCTGAGAGAAACTTTAAATCTGCAGTGACCCCTGACCCCTCTGTGTGAACGCTGAACCAGGACTGAACCAGGCCTGAACCAGGTCTGAATCAGTAGTAGTAGGTTTGTTTATTCGGCCATATAAATTATTATTATTTGACATAAAAAGGCGTTAAAGGAAAAGTGTTGTATAAACCTGTGTGTGTCGTTAATGTAAATACTTTAACAAAGAACACACATTTATGACCAAAGCATCACTTATTTTTGCCTAATCTAATTCATAAAGTCAGTATGGAAGCCCGTTTCCGCCATGTAAAAAAAAAAAAGCCTACAGAAAGTCGAAATTTCGACTTTAAAAGTCAAAATTACGAGTTTTCAACTGCACATGTGCAGTTGAAAACTCGTATGTGTTGTTGTCTGGAACGGTCTCTGGTCATCCCTGTTATAGATCCATGACCATGGGTCATCCCTGTTATAGATCCATGACCATGGGTCATCCCTGTTATAGATCCATGACCATGGGTCCTCCCTGTTATAGATCCATGACCATGGGTCATCCCTGTTATAGATCCATGACCATGGGTCATCCCTGTTATAGATCCATGACCATGGGTCATCCCTGTTATAGATCCATGACCATGGGTCCTCCCTGTTATAGATCCATGACCATGGGTCATCCTCTACCTGCAGATTATGTGAAGATATTTCCTACAGACAGTGACCACATCCATGAAGTAGCAGCAATAATGTTGTGGTAGTAATCGCGTTAAAATGCAAACGGCAGGAGGCAGGAGAACCACAGACAGAGGCAGGAGAACCACAGACAGAGGCAGGAGAACCACAGACAGAGGCAGGTGAACCACAGACAGAGGCAGGAGAACCACAGACAGAGGCAGGAGAACCACAGACAGAGGCAGGAGGCCCACAGACAGAGGCAGGTAAACCACAGACAGAGGCAGGAGAACCACAGACAGAGGCAGGAGAACCACAGACAGAGGCAGGAGAACCACAGACAGAGGCAGGAGAACCACAGACAGAGGCAGGAGAACCACAGACAGAGGCAGGAGAACCACAGACTAAGGCAGGAGAACCACAGACAGAGGCAGGTGAACCACAGACAGAGGCAGGTAAACCACAGACAGAGGCAGGAGAACCACAGACAGAGGCAGGTGAACCACAGACAGAGGCAGGTAAACCACAGACAGAGGCAGGTAAACCACAGACAGAGGCAGGAGAACCACAGACAGAGGCAGGAGAACCACAGACAGAGGCAGGAGAACCACAGACAGAGGCAGGTGAACCACAGACAGAGGCAGGTAAACCACAGACAGAGGCAGGTAAACCACAGACAGAGGCAGGAGAACCACAGACAGAGGCAGGTGAACCACAGACAGAGGCAGGTAAACCACAGACAGAGGCAGGTAAACCACAGACAGAGGCAGGAGAACCACAGACAGAGGCAGGAGAACCACAGACAGAGGCAGGTGAACCACAGACAGAGGCAGGTAAACCACAGACAGAGGCAGGTAAACCACAGACAGAGGCAGGAGAACCACAGACAGAGGCAGGTGAACCACAGACAGAGGCAGGAGAACCACAGACAGAGGCAGGAGAACCACAGACAGAGGCAGGAGAACCACAGACAGAGGCAGGAGAACCACAGACAGAGGCAGGTAAACCACAGACAGAGGCAGGTAAACCACAGACAGAGGCAGGAGAACCACAGACAGAGGCAGGAGAACCACAGACAGAGGCAGGAGAACCACAGACAGAGGCAGGAGAACCACAGACAGAGGCAGGAGAACCACAGACAGAGGCAGGTAAACCACAGACAGAGGCAGGTAAACCACAGACAGAGGCAGGTAAACCACAGACAGAGGCAGGTAAACCACAGACAGAGGCAGGAGAACCACAGACAGAGGCACGCAGGGGTGAGCTGATGGAGCGTGTGGTAAAGTTGTTGGCGTATGAGCAAGAACACAGAGACATACAGGGAATAAGTGCCTTGTCTGATTATTTTATTGTGACAAAATAAAGCCCACGACTCTTTTAGCAACAAACCGGAGAAATAACTCTGCAGATAACAGTGAGGGTCTTTGAAAAGGGACTTAAACCCATTATAGATGCATGAATAAAACCCTGTACTCAACACGTAGAAAGCTCATCCTTTCAGTCGTGGAAAGACTCGCTCCGTGTGGACCCCTCTCAGCGCCATCGTCTGGTCAGAGTGGGGTATAGCAGACTGGATTGGAATGTCTCGATGGCTCATTTTCCTTTGATTTATTATAAAAACGTATTGCTCACATTATTTGTAACTATGTCGAAATAAGAAGTCGTTTGATTTAAATGTTGTATATATGTAAATTGAATTTAACATAAATAAATAAAAAGACAGCTCCTCCTGCGTCCTACGACCGCGGTCTGGGGCTTAAACAGGAAAGTTTTACAGAATCAATCAAACAACATTATTTCTGACTTCCGGGAATGGAGGACAAGCGAGCGGTCGCATAATTTCCCATCTCTCAGCAGGTCCAACTTCCCCACGGCCAGACCGGCTATTTTTTAAACAAAGTAATTTGACAAATATGCCAAGGGGAAGTGGAAGGAAATCCACGCGGAAGGCGCACACTCAGGGAGAGGAAACGGTCGTATCTCCGAGTGAGAGTGAGGACAGCAACGCCAGTGCTAACACGCTAGCAAGCGCGGAGGGGTTAGCCAACGACAAAGACATGGATGCTATTAGCGCTAGCATCATAGCCGAAATACAAAAAGTCCGCTCGGATGTCAACGAAGCAACGGGACAACTCAGGCAAGACCTTTTCAATTTTAGAGGGGAAACGAACAGTAGGCTCGCTGCTGTTGAGACCAACGTGAAACAAATATCTGACAGGATAGGAGAAGCTGAAAGACGTGTTAGCAACATGGAGGATATCAGTGCGGATGTGAACGACGCGCTAGCACACACGCTTGAGTTGCATGATCAGCTCCAAAAACGGCTCGTTGATTTGGAGGCGCGCTCACGCCGTAATAATATTAGAATCCACGGGATTCGCGAAGAAGCTGAAGGAAATGACCTTTTTGGTTTCATTGAGAATTTCATTAAAACAGAGCTGGCGTTGTCAAACACATCTCTTGGCATACAGCGATGTCACCGCTCACTAGCAGCAAAGCCTCCAACAGAAGCTAATCCGAGGTCAATAGTACTGTGTTTTCTCGAGTTCAGAACCAAGGAGCTTGTACTCAAAGCAGCATGGAACAAAAAAGACATTCAATTTCAAGGAAGACGAATTTTCTTTGAGCAAGACTACACAAGTGACGCCTTGGCGAAAAGAAAAGCCTATGCACCTGTTCGGAGAGCACTAAAAGAGAAAGGTTTACGCTTCCAAACACTGCACCCTGCACGTCTTCGCGTCCACCTTCATACCGGTCCGGTGGTCTACAGTAATGCGTCTGAAGCAGCAGAAGATTTGAAGAAAAAAGGAGCGATCGACGTAGAAATCACCACTAATGTGGCAACGCCAGGGAAATCCACCGAAACAAGAATGGCAACACCACCATGGCATAAAGCTGGCGTATCACGCCATCAACGTGAGATGAGGATTACAAAAATCAAGGAAAGACTAAACCAATTTCGACGTGATGACTGCAGCGCATGAGGTACTGTCCATGCAGTGGACATTTGTATGACCTTGTTGCCCTTTTGTTAAGTCTAGTAATCTTGACCCATATGATGAGATGCGCATGCTTGTTTGCCCTCCCCAATGCGAGCTGTTCTGATTGATACGGATCGGACCCTGCAGCACGCATCAAGAGGGGCTCTTCAGTTCAGAAGACCTCCCTCCCCACTTAGAGGTGGATATCTCACTTCGTATGTGGAAGTCATGTTTGTGTGTTTGTTCTATTTGTTCATACTGTTCTTTCAGACCATTTTGTTTATTCCCTTTTGGCCATCTGAACTATTTAAGATTGATTGCAAATGTTTCACCCACATCATAGAAAAATATATCATAAAATACATTAATGAATAGACAACAATACAAATTTATAACACTCAATGTAAATGGTTTAAATAATGTAGTGAAGCGGAGTAAGGTAATAAGTAAAATGAAACGAGAAAAGCAAGATGTTATATTTTGGCAGGAAACGCATCTTTCAAACGATGAACATGGAAAACTGAAAAAATGGTTTAAACACTCTTATTATTCCTCTTTTACAAATGGAAATGCCAGGGGAGTAGCAATTCTTATTTCAAATAATGTAAATTTCCAGTTCTCCTCACAGATAACAGATTCTGAGGGACGATATATTATGTTAAAAGGTTTTATTGACCAAAAAGAGGTTACATTATTAAATGTATATCGTCCACCAGGAAATAATAGACAACTGATTAAGAAGATTTTTGACATTATTTGTACAGATTCAACTGGGGTTCTTGTATGTGGTGGAGATTGGAACATTTACTTGCACCCCTCATTAGACTCCTCCACTTTAAGAAAAATGCGACCGGAAGCATTACTTGTTAATAAGCTCATTAAAGAGGTTGGTTTGAAAGATATATGGAGAGAATTACATCCAAATGAAAAAGGTTTTACTTTCTATTCCCACTCACACTCATGTTTTCGAGATTGGATTATTTTTTTATGCTTAACCAAGACATAGGGTTTATGATTGTGATATAGGGGTAAGGGACGTTTCAGATCATGCAGGAGAAAACTTGACTATACATTTAGATATTGCACGAAAGGAGACAGCGTGGAGACTTAACTCTAGTTACCTTAATGATGAAGAATTTAGAAATCATACGGAGGAGTCATTTGCAGAATATATCTATCACAATGACAAAGGAGACATTTCGCCTAGCGTGTTATGGGATGCAGCTAAGGCAGTTTTGAGAGGTAAACTAATTAGATGGTCATCTATTAAAAAGAAAGAAAGAGAAAAGATAATTGGTGATAAGGTCTTTGAACTTAAATTATTGGAGGACGAACATGTGAGGAAAAATAACGACGACAGCTTGAGTAAATTACTGTCAGCTAAACGTGACTTAAATGAGCTATATGATCATCAGATAGAGACGAAAGCTAAGTTCCTCAAACAAAATTATTACGAGAATGGACCTAGAGCCAAGAAACTACTTGCGTGGAGGACACAGAAACAACAGGCGAACCGAAACATACACAAAATAAAAAATCCAGTTACGAAAGTAATTCAACATAATTTAGAAGACTACAAAAATCTTTTGTAACTTATTATTCAAATCTTTATACCCAGCCACCAGCAGCAGACCCAACTATAGTGGAAACCTTCCTCGAATCGTTAGATCTACCCTCCATAGGTACAGAACAAAATAAAAAACTTTCACAACAAATTACAGAAGAAGAAATTCATAAGATAATATCAAATTTAAAAGGGAACAAAATGCCGGGCCCCGACGGGTTCCCGTCCGAATGGTACAGGGCCTTTTCACGGACCATTATTCCATTACTCAAATCCTGTTTTAACTATGTCCTTGAGGGAGGGGCGATACCTACATCATGGAAACAAGCGCTTATTTCAGTCATTCCCAAGCCAGGAAAAGATGCAACTGAATGTGGCTCTTACAGACCAATTTCTATACTAAACATAGATTATAGAATATTCGCAAAAATACTTGCAAAGCGTTTCGAGGACATCATTCCAGAATTAATAGACACTGATCAGACAGGATTCGTTAAAGGTAGACAGACACACGACAACATACGTAGGGTAATTAATCTCATAGGTCATATGCAAAACTCTAAATCTGTAGCACTAAGCCTTGATGCAGAAAAGGTATTTGATTCTGTCCGTTGGGAGTTTTTATTTTCAACCTTAAAACGCTTTGGTTTCAATAGTAGTATAATTACTTGTCTGGCCTCTCTTTACAGCTCACCAAGTGCCAGAATTAAAATTAACGGAGACCTATCAAAATCAGTTTCTCTGAATCGTGGCTGCCGCCAGGGCTGCCCCTTGAGTGCAAGTCTGTTTGCGCTGTACATTGAACTTCTGGCTCAAGCAATCAGAGAATCAAACCAGATAAAAGGTATTGATCTGTATGATACAGAATATAAAATTTGTCTATACGCGGATGATGTCCTACTCACACTTTCTGAACCTGAAACTAGTCTGAAAGCACTTATACCCCTTCTTAATACGTTCGGTTTCTACTCCGGTTATAAATTAAATCTTCATAAAACCCAAGTTCTTACATTTGATTATAAACCAAGCAAATATCTTACAAAACATTTAAAATGTAATTGGAACAATGCATCAATCAAATACCTAGGAGTCCATATACCCAAACAACAAAACGAGATATGTAAACACAACTATGATCCATTGACGATCAGCATTAGAGCAGATCTGGACCGATGGTCATTACTCCCTATGAACATGCACGACAGAATCCAAATGATTAAGATGACTATATTGCCTAAACTACTCTATTTGTTTCTCGCGCTGCCTGTTTTGGTGTCCTCCAGGCAATTTATAGAATGGAATAGATTGATTTCTAATTTTATTTGGAATAAACAAAAGCCTAGAATAAAATATGTGACAATGCAATTGTCCAAAAGAGAGGGTGGGATGGCTTTACCGTGTCTGGAAAATTATTATAAAGCGGCTCAACTTAGAATCTTGATTGCATGGTGTGACCCATCTAATGAGGCTTAATGGAAGTTAATCGATAAAGCAGAGATCGGTGATGTCCCACTCTCCTCCATTTTAGGTGATAAAACAAGGTTAATGATACTTTTACAAACTGTATCAGATTGTATTAAGACACCACTGAATATTTGGGCTAATGTTATTAAACAAGAAGCAGTTGAAAGGGAGGCAAGAATACTGCGTTGGCCCGCTTATGACACCGAATTCATTCCCGCTGGATGTGATAGCAGATTTAGATGTTGGTGTAACGGGGGGGTCCGTGTGGTCCGTGTACGTCGCGGCCATTCTATTTTTGATTAGGAAAGAAAATACAAAAAACGAATATTGGCCGTTTCCCGTTTTCCGTTTTCAAAATAAAATGCAGAAAACGAGAATTTAATCCGTTTTTCGATTTTGTGTTTTAAAATTAAAAAACGGATAACGAAAAACAGGTCATAATCCGTTTTTCCATTACACATTTACACAAGAAACACCAACATCGAAAAACCACGGCAAAAATTTGATTTTCCATTCTTGATCTTATTTTGAAGCTGACCCGGAAGCTGTTGAGGCTTTCCCGCACAGTCAGAGTTTTCCAGTTTTTTGAATGATAATGGAGATACCAGAGTTGGAGAAAACTTTTGTTTTGTATCGAGACAGCAAACGGGTTACTTTAAAAGATGTCGACATGACAGTGGATAAGATTGGCACCATTTTCCAGGTAAGTTTATAAATTTAAATAGCAAAACCTACTGTGTTTATGCTAGTGAACGGTTAGCCATCTAAAAAGGCTAATGGTGTCCGCTGATATACATTAATATTATTCTATATCTTGTAATCTTTAATTAATCTGCTCTCCTCTTCATAATGAATTTTATTTTGTGAGTGTTGATATTGTTAACATAATCGTTAATCTGTAGCTTCAAAATAAGATCAAGAATGGAAAATCAAATTTTTGCCGTGGTTTTTCGATGTTGGTGTTTCTTGTGTAAATGTGTAATGGAAAAACGGATTATGACCTGTTTTTCGTTATCCGTTTTTTAATTTTAAAACACAAAATCGAAAAACGGATTAAATTCTCGTTTTCTACATTTTATTTTGAAAACGGAAAACGGGAAACGGCCAATATTCGTTTTTTGTATTTTCTTTCCTAATCAAAAATAGAATGGCCGCGACGTACACGGACCCGGGGGCATCACTGCATATTGGAAAATAACTACAGAATGCAATATGAAATCCTTCCAAGAACTTTCCGAAAAATTTGGACTGGAAAAAAAGGATTTTTATCGTTACCTTCAGCTGAGGCATCATTTCAATGCAAACATTAAACCTACAAGCCATGGAGGTGATGCTCTTGTTAGACTAGTCATTGATACATGTAAAGGGAAGAATGTTGGGAGGCATGTGTCTTCTGTCTACTCTGTTTTACAATCACGTAAAAAACTTTCCACAAATTACATTAAACACAAATGGGAAAAAGAAACAGGGATAGCTTTAACAGATGAGGATTGGGCAAATATATGCAACACCATCATAACAACCTCCAGCTCTGATTTATGGAGAGAATATGCATGGAAAAGTGTTGTAAGATACTTCTTGACTCCCAGAATCAAAGAACTTCAAACCAAAAGTGCTGTTCAGGGTATCTGTTGGAGGAAGTGTGGGAGAGTATCAGCTGGACATTTTCACATATTCTGGGAATGCCCCGTGATTGCCCCCTACTGGACAGAGATAATACAAAGCATTAAGTCGATTTCCAGGCTGCAACTGGAAGAGACTTTCCAAGTCTTCTATCTGGGCAACATACCGGTTGGACTGAGAAAAAAAGACCGCTATCTTCTCTTGATAATGCTCGTGGCAAGTAAAAAGGCGATCACTTGAAAATGGCTACAGGACAAACCACCAACAAAATCAGACTGGATTACAATCGTGACAGAAATTGGTGAAATGGAAAGACTAACGTTTTCACTGAGACACTCAATAGAGAAATTTTGGAAATATTGGGAAAAATGGAAATGCTTTAAATACTGATGGCCTGTTTGTTCTTTCTAAAATGTAAAAATGTTTTAAAATTTAAAAAAAAAAATTAAGTAAAAAAAATAAAATAAAAAAATAACATTATTTCTGACTACTTCAAGGATGCAGTGGTCACTGTCGGCAATATCTTCATAATCTGCAGGTGAAGGACGTCCAGAGACCGTTCCAGACAACAACACACACCAGTTTTCAACTGCACATGCGCAGTTCAAAACTCGTAATTTTGACTTTTAAAGTCAAAACCTGACAGCTAGCTTCCCTGTTAGCTAAAGGGACACTTCAAGATGGCGGCGCCCTGTAGAACTGCTGTAACTTCAATCAACAAAAGCTGAAATTCTTGCTAAACAAACCAGCAAACAAAAAGATACAGCACAGTAAAACTTGGCTATGCCACCGAAGAGAGCAACAAGCAAAGTAGAGATGGAGAATGAGATGGAGGACATTCGAAAGTCGCTTAACCATATGTCTGAGGAGCTGCCCAAAGTGACTCAACAGCTGGCAAAGCTAATGGGACTTTTTGAAGAAGTCAGACAACTGAAGGAGCTGATTAAAGAAAAAGACAAAACTATCAATGAGCTTGAAAAGAGGATTGATCAGTTGGAACAGTACACGAGGATGGACGACGTGATTATCACCGGACTGAGAGTTAAACCCCGCTCCTATGCCAAGGCGGCAGCCGGGGGGAGAAACATCAGTGAAGATGCTGACACAGAGGACCAACAATCACTGGAGACACAGGTTGTGACATTTCTGATGGAAAAGGACATACATCTAGATGCCAAAAATCTCGCAGCCTGTCATATGCTCCCAAGGAAAGATGTAAGTAACCCTGTCATTCTTTTACGCTTTGCAAATCGTAAGCACAAAGTTGAGCTACTGCGTCAAGGGAGGAAATTAAAGGGATCTGCTGTTTATTTAAATGAGCATCTTACGAAGAAGACAGCAGACATGGCACGAGAAGCGCGCATCCTAAGAAGAAATGACAAAATCAAAGCAACGTGGACGAGGAACTGTAAGGTGCTTATTCAACTAAAGGGGACTACTCCGGAGCAGGCTAAAGTAATCATGGTAAGAGAACTCAAGGACCTTGATCCATATCGCTAAATTGTCTGCACCTAAACTACTTGGATTCTTTTCCAAATCCCGCTCGTTATGTGTTATGGAGGTCATGATATTTTTTGTTTTCGTTAGAAGGGACAAACGAATGGACCTTACTGTCTCTCACTGGAGTGGTGATTATGCAGTTCACGCGCAACAGTTAAACTTTGAGCATGTGGGACGTTGGATTATTTATTTGCTTTTTGACTACGCGTGGAAATGGATTCAATACCTATTTCACGTGGACTATGCGCGGATAATATTTAGTAATCCATGGATTTACTTTTTGGAAGTTGGACGGAGTAAAAGGACAGTGACTTTGACACCTATATTGGAAACAATGGATTGTGTTAAACAGGACAGGAGCATTTCTTTTACATCAAGATTACATTTTTGGTTAAATTATACTAACAATTGTGCTTGCTGTGGTCACGGATTCAAGTCATTTTTTATTTATTATTATTATATATTTTTCTTTTTTCTTTCTTTTTTCCATTTTTTTCTCTCTCTACGAGTGTATGCACGTGTGCTTGGGCGTGTGAGTGTTTGTGTGGGCGAATGCGTGTGTATGTGTATGTACAGTTGCAAGGAAACGTTTAATCTATATAATGTCAAATATAGATCAGATGGCTGATGAGGAGTGTGAATTGTCAGTAGTATCCAGAGATGAAGTTGAGAATGAACAAGAATATACGGATAATTTAGATAGAAATGAATTGGAAAAACACATCGAACATATGAACTTAAATTTACTTGATACTCTGAATTATAAAACAAATGAGTTTGGCGAAAACATAGATCCAGATAATCACTTTTATAATGACATATTAAAGGACTGCAAGTATTACTCTGATGAACAGTTTAATCTTGTTGATATGGATGGAGCATTAAGTGTAATTCATTTCAACAGTAGGAGCCTGTACAAAAATTATGATAGTATCAAAGAATATCTTAGTAAACTTAATACATTTAAAGTTATAGCAATGTCAGAGACATGGTTAGATACAGATAAAGCAACTGAAGTAGAACTAGAAGGATATGAGCTCTTTACCATCAATAGGACTAATAAAAAAGGTGGTGGCGTGGCACTATATGTGGACATGGATCTGAGAGGTAACCTTGTTAATAGTAAGTCCTTCACAATTGATGGAGTTATAGAGTGCATAACCGTGGAAATCGAAGTAAAACAATCCAAAAATGTTGTTGTTAGTTGTGTGTACAGGACACCAGGATCATGTATTGATACATTTAATCAAATTATGGATAGATTATTCAATAACATAAAAAAGACACATATTGTCTGTGGTGATTTTAATATAAATCTCTTAAACCCTCATAATAGTATGCAAACAAATGAGTTCACTATGACTATGTATAGCAATAATCTATTCCCACTAATCATCAAACCCACAAGACTTACAGTCGAAACAGCAACATTAATAGATAACATATTTACCAATAGTTTTCAAACACAAACCACTGCTGGCTTACTCATAAACGATATTACCGATCATCTTCCAGTGTTCAGTATTTTTCATAAGCTACTCAGTAGGTATGATATATCAAGTACATCCCAATCACTAACATATAAAATGGTGAGACATAGAACTCCTGAAGCCATGGCTGCCTTAAGGGCTGACCTATCCAGTCTGACGTGGAGTGAGGTCTATTCCACATCTAATCCTGACCAGGCCTATGACAACTTCTTAACCAAACTGATAAGTCTTTATGACAAACACTGCCCACCAAAGAAACATATTATTAAAGAATCTAACAACCAAAACAAACCGTGGATTACTAAAGGTATAGCTAATGCGTGCAAAAAGAAGAAATATTATTATAAATTATTTCTAAAATCACGATCTAGAGAAGCTGAAGAAAGATATAAAAAATATAAAAATAAATTAACCAACATAATAAGATCAATCCAAAAAATATATAATAATGAACTACTAGAGAAACAGAAAGATAATACACAAGGTACTTGGAAAGTTCTAAATGGTATACTTAAAAACAAAAACAAAAAAGCTGATTATCCCAAATATTATGTTAAAGATGGAAAAATTATGGATAAAAATACAGAAATTGTAAATGCATTTAATCAATTCTTTGTCAATGTTGGACCCACTCTAGCCCAAGAAATTGTTCCACCACCAGAAACTATGGAAGTGGACATAAGTAATATCGAAAGTAACTTAAATTCATTTTTTATTAGAAGTGTAGATGACAATGAAATTATAAATATTGTGAATACATTTAAGAGTAAGAGGTCCACTGACAGTTTTGATTTTGATATGATGCTGGTAAAGGAGATTATAGCTAGCATTGTTATACCTTTAACACATATCTTGAATGAAAATTTCAAAAGTAATACCTATTTTCAAAAGTGGAGACAAACACAAATTTACAAACTACAGACCAATTTCTTTACTTTCCCAATTCTCCAAAATCCTAGAAAAGCTGTTTGACACGAGAATGAATGATTTTTTAAATAAGCACAATATCATTTACGACCGGCAGTTTAGCTTTAGGGAAAATAGGTCGACCTCTATGGCAGTCATGGATCTGGTGGAGGAAATTTCAACGGCAACAGACAATGGAGAAAATACAGTCGGTGTCTTTATAGATCTAAGTAAGGCCTTTGACACGATTAATCATCAATTACTTTTATCAAAAATGCAAAGATATGGCTTCAGAGGAGTCGCATATGAATGGTTAAAAAGTTATCTAAGTGGGAGGCAGCAATATGTACAAATTAGTAATGTTAGTTCTGAAAAACACACCATAACTCACGGTGTCCCGCAGGGGTCTGTTCTTGGGCCAAAATTATTCATCATGTACATTAATGACATCTGGCAAGTCCTTAAGAACATGCAGTGCATTCTGTTTGCTGATGACACCAGCCTCTATTGTTCTGGACAAAATATTGAACAGTTAATGCATACAGTTGAAAATGAACTAGAATTACTAAAACGATGGTTTGACTACAATAAATTATCAATGAATGTGAATAAAACAAAATATATTATATTCGGTAATAAGAAAATTGATAATTCAATAAAACTAAGCATCGACCAAAGGGAAATCGAGAGGGTGTGTCATACAACATTTTTGGGAGTGCATGTTGATGAAAGACTAAATTGGAAAGTGCATATAAATTTTGTGAAATCTAAAGTATCAAAAATAATTGGCATATTGTGTAAAATCAAGGCAGTTGTAAACCAAAAATCACTCCACTTATTATACAATGCTCTCATTCTTCCATATCTAAATTATGGTGTGGAACTTTGGGGGAATAATTATAAAAGTACAATCCAACCTATTTTTATACCGCAAAAAAAAGCGGTCAGAATAGTCAATTATGCAGATTATTATGCCCCAACAAATCCCTTGTTCATAAAATTAAGAATACTAAAACTAAATGATTTAGTTGATCTTAGCACAGCTATTGTTATGTATAAGGTTCATAACCATAAGCTTCCTGAATGTATTCAAGAAAGGTTCAAACCCAGAGAGACTGGCTATAATCTAAGAGGAACTCATATTTATCAGAAAAATATATTTGGAACAAACACCAAAGCCAGATGTGTTTCAGTCAGAGGAGTAAATATATGGAATAGTCTGAATGACACCTTAAAAAACTCAACATCGTTAAACGCTTTCAAAAAAAAATCAAATCTAACATAATTAGCAGTTACACAGAATTAGAAATAAATCACAGATAAACTCTCCTGTGTACAGTATATTTTGTATTTTGTACTATTTTGCTCTTGTACTTTGCTACTTGTAAAATGTTCCTTTGTACTATTGTGATTTTTTTTTTATTGTAATGATTTCGGGGGTGGGCGCTCATAAGCTTTTGCTTTGGCCCACTCCTTTTGAGCAGAACTTGAACTGCTCAAATAATAAAATAAACTAAACTAAACTAAATTTTTTTTTTTTACATGGCGGAAACGGGCTTCCATAAGTCAGAGTTTGGGGCAAAGCCCTCTCAAAAGAGAAGCCAAACTAAATTTCAAGATCAGGAGAAAAAAATAAAAATAAAATGACGGAACGAAAAACGAAAGGAACGATTGAAGCAAAACTTTTAGTTTAACAACAAAAAGAAACATAAAGTGTCTCAGAAAGAGCTCATTCTTGGACTGGTGTTTTTGTAAAATATTATGTTTATTGTTATTTCATCGTTTTCATGTAGTTTTTAAACGTCTGAGTCGTCTCACTCTCTTAGTTCTTGCCTTTTTTATTTGATTATCCCTGTTCCTCTGAAACCACTCTGTTGCACACGTGTTACTGAGTCTGAACAGAGTGGTTTCAGATTATCATATCATCTACTGTAATCTACTGTAATCTACTGTAATCTACTGCAATCTACTGTAATCTACTGTAATCTACTGCAATCTACTGTAATCTACTGTAATCTACTGTAATCTACTGCAATCTACTGTAATCTACTGTAATCTACTGCAATCTACTGTAATCTACTTCAATCTAATCTACTGTAATCTACTGTAATCTACTGCAATCTAATCTAATCTACTGTAATCTAATCTAATCTACTGCAATCTACTACTGTAATCTACTGTGATCTAATCTAATCTACTGTAATCTACTGTATTGTACTGTAATCTACTGCAATCTACTGTAATCTACTGCAATCTAATCTAATCTACTGTAATCTACTGTAATCTAATCTAATCTACTGTAATCTACTGTATTGTACTGTAATCTACTGCAATCTACTGTAATCTACTGCAATCTAATCTAATCTACTGTAATCTACTGTAATCTAATCTAATCTACTGTAATCTACTGTAATCTACTGCAATCTACTGCAATCTACTGTAATCTACTTCAATCTAATCTAATCTACTGTAATCTACTGTAATCTACTTCAATCTAATCTAATCTACTGTAATCTACTACTGTAATCTACTATAATCTAATCTAATCTACTGTAATCTACTGTAATCTACTGTATTCTACTGTAATCTACTGCAATCTACTGTAATCTACTGCAATCTAATCTAATCTACTGTAATCTACTGTAATCTAATCTACTGTAATCTACTGTAATCTACTGTATTCTACTGTAATCTACTGCAATCTACTGTAATCTACTGCAATCTAATCTAATCTAC